CTTTCATGAGCTTCCGACCCTTAACTATGATTAATTAATGATGAACATGTTATTTTCATTCATGATCGATTCATCACGATACTTCTGTTAAGCTTGGAGAGTAATTATACATTCTTATTGCTCAAACTAGAGTACAGTAGTGTTATAAAAACCCCGGAGAATTCCAGTAAGATATCTTTAATCATTTCTAAGATACAACGTTTTAGAGATTAACAATTGGAAAATTTTGCTGTTAAACGATTTGATCAATTTTGCTATTAGATACATTCTGATCCTGTATTTAATCGCATTTCCACAGGATGTGACAAAAATTACCCATTCGTCGCGTGGGCGCCACTATTTCATTCTTTCGTGCAATGAAGGAGCTGCTACTGTAGGTTTGTAATCCCTGGGACTCAGCATTCCTTATTCATTTGTTGTGTTCTGTCCGAAGATAGAAACACAATTGCAAGATAAAATATAGTTTGACCGCCTGAAGGCAGATACCACACTCGGCATTTACTTGCCGCCACACGCCGACATTTTAAAGTAGAGAGTTCGATTGTGTGCACCCGGGCCAGATCCAAAAATGTCCTTGTCTCCACAACCATCGATTATGCTGGCACCGGCATTCCTACTAATTTACCCTCCCTCTTTAGCGCAATGCCGTGGACATCTAATTCCCCGAGACAGGTTACCTCTCTATTTTTTTCATTTGCGTTCTATCCGTAGAGATATAACTGAGAGACAAAATGCAGTTTATCCGCTCGAGGGCAGATACTACACTTTGATCCTAGCCTGATAGCTGGGTATATTTACTTGCGATGGCATGATGCGAACCAATGTTGTTTTTTAACGTGTGGTCGATACCAGACAAGCCAAAAATTGCTTCCCCAGTCCTTACGGTATTTGTTACTTTGGAGTTGGTATTTAATACATTGTAGAAGGTGTTACAGCAGAGTTGGAATCCACAGCACCAGATATCCATCATCGCTCTTTTCCGTGAAATGGCCGCAGACAGTAGAAAAGGCTAATGGTCAGTCAGTTATGTACCATGCATGATACACGTTTAGGCGATCATGTATCTTTCGATACATGACTGACGTGGCAGATTTTTTTTCCGCAGTAGGTTGCCATTTCTTTCTGCGGTAGACCAGTTGCCATCCAAGGCTATATAACTCGGTCTGTCTTGCTATTTACCCATAGATGGGGAGAGAAGAAGAGGACTTATACCTTTCCCAGGGGTGTTAGCACGTAAATGAATGTAATGGATTTGATTGGAATTCGAACTCGGCTCGTCCGATTCCTCAATCCGAGCCTCTATCCATTAAATACAGCATCATGTTACTGGAAAGATTGCCAAGCAGAATGTTTTTTTAACTGGATGATTGTTTTCTTTTTTTTATTTGTAATTTATAAAATAACTCTAAAATAAATAATCTTGAGAAAACAAAACTGAAATATTATTGAAGCTATACTGGAATTTAGGACAACTGAAAGCTAAAATATTAAAGATATTCAACATTGATACATGGAAAATATTCATATAGAAATCATTATAATAAAGATAAATTTAATAATATTAGGAAATAAGGCGACATTCATTTATGTGCCATGCGTGATACACGCTTAGGCGATCATCTATCTTTTGATACATGACTGACGAGGCAGATTTTTTCTCGTAGTGGGTTGCCATTTTTTCTGCGATAGACCAGCTGCCATCCAAAGCTATAGAACCCGGTCTATTCTGCTATTTATCCATAGCTTGGGGAGGGGAAGAGGATTCATACCTTTCCCAAGTGTATTAGCACATAAGTGTATGTAATGGATTCAACTGGAATTCGAACTCGGTTTTCCGAGGAGGCACGGTAGAGTAATGGCTTGGCGGCTCGGATTGAGGAATCGGAGAGCCGAGTTTGAATCGAAAGATACATGATCGCCTAAGCGTATATCACGCATGGCAGATAACTGACTGAGAGAGGATGCTTCCCCAATCATCACAATCTTAAGCTTTTCTAGTCTAAGGTCAACCATTATCTATCCTACATATCCTCATAGTATGCACTTTTTATTTCCTCACTTTAAACTATATTTAAACTGATATTTACCCATAGCTGGTAGGAGAAGAGGATTCACACCTTTCCCAAGAGTATCAGCACATAAGTGAATTTAATGGATTAGACTAGAATTCGAACTCGGTTCTCTGATTCCTCAATCCGAGCCGCTATCCACCGTGTTTAATGTACGCACATATCAAAAAGCAGATTAATAGTATAGATCTTTGATTTAACAGTTCCGAATAATATCATTATTAATAGTTTTGATTAAATGTTTACAACTGGACGAATGTTTATGAACGAAAGCAAATCATATAAAAACAATATGCTGTCAATTTTGATAATGTTTATTCACTATCAATCATTTTAGCTTTATTAATTTGTCTGGCTGAACAGCAAGCGATCCAAATGACCAATCAAATAGCATTACAATATCACGTGTCATCGAAATTAAATACGCTAATATGCCATTATTTTTAAATGCTGTCATTCTCTTGTTTCGTTCCCTTGGTAATATTTACGCCCGACGTGTGCCGCAAGGGGGCAGTACGTTGCCTTTCCAGTCGCATATACCAATGGTGGTATTGAGAACCAAACCTGTGGAAGAGAGAGAAACATCAAATATTAGGTTTTTATTAATTAAAAAATAATTAGCTTTTTTTTGTAACTCGTGACATCGTTGGTAAGTGTCTTTAAAGATAGTTTTTTTATTAAAAAAAATCAGTCACACAGTGATACATCAAAAAGCATTTAAAGGAGATAGGCAGAGGCAAAACTCAAATAGCAAATATAACATATTAAAGATTTTAGTTAATATAATTTCACAAAGTTAAAAGTTGCCCTATCGGGCGGCATTTAAGCTCGCTTCTGCGGAGGGCTCTTGATTGGGCTTTCGGCTTGTTCAGGAGTTTGAGAGTCCCTAAGTCTTTGCATATTCTCAGCATTGGAAGCTCTCCTGGCTGCTGTTTGATCTGTGTTTTCATTTGCATGCGACTTTCTTTTCCTTGCTGCAGCCTTGGCTCTTTTGATTGCAATCTGGTCTTCTGTTGGCAGAGATTTCTTTTTGCGAGGCATACTACTGCCATATGCGATAGGCAACACTAAACTACAGAAGAACTCAAAATTGATTGCTGCATTTAAGTATTGCATTAACATTTAAGCTTTTAATTCTTCTGCCGCTGCTTTATTTAAAGACATTTTGATATGCGTAGTTTCTTACTTTCTGCACAAACAATTATCTTTATTTCGTGGGTGACTTTCGCTGGATTTCGCAATTAATTTCGATTATTCCCAAATTTGTTTCCAAGTTATAAAAATGGTTATTGTACAAAAGATCACATAAAAACAATCGCAGTAATGAAAATTTGGGAATCCAAAATTTCTGCATCATGAGCTATTGAAAGTTAGAGAGTTTTATCCCTTTAATTGAAAAAGTGTGACACAATGACACACAGACATTCGGATTTATTTTATAGATGAATTTAACAATTATAGTGCATATGCTAGATTGGTAACAAGGTCTCATCAATTTACAATTAATTTGGCTAGATGCAACCGTAAGTTCTATGCTAACAGATTCTTCTATCGTACTTCTCGCTTGTGGAACTCTCTTCCGGTCCCATGCTTTCCAGCCAACTTCGATCTTTAAAAATGTCAATCGTTATTTACTGCCTTCCTGATTATTCTTTTGTTGTTATCACTCATTAATAATGTTTCTGTTTTCTAATTCTTACACAGTTGGTAACCCCCCTGTGTCTTAGTGGCTTTACTGCCTTGTTTTGTGTGAATTAATAAAAAAAAAAAGTCTATCTTACATATCTATAAATCTACGATTAGCCCATACTTAGAATATCGCTGACACATATGGTTCGATGCTCTTGCTAAAAGAATCAGCAATATTATTGGTCTTGGCCTGGCGTGTCGGCATCAATATTGAATCAAGTCAAGGTCTGCTGTTGAGAAGTTTGGTATACTGTATCGTGCTAGACAATTTTTCTTGACAGAAATCTATCTATCTATCTATCTATCTATCTATCTATCTATCTATCTATCTATCTATCTATCTTACAATCTTACAATCTTGCATATTTATAAGTCTATCATTCATCCTTGCTTTGAATATTGCTGCCCTATCTGGTCTGGGGCTCCTGCTATATATTTAGAGATTCTTGATAAAATCCAAGGAAGAATCTGCAATGTTATTAGTGCTCGCCTTCAGTCACTTTTCAACCGGTGTAATGTAGCTTCCCAGTGCCTTCTATAATTAATTTCATGGTAATTGTTCTGAGGAACTACCTTCTAGGCCAGGGGTTCTTAACCTGGGTCCACATATTTCTGGAGGCCCACAGGCAAAATATAACAAAATTGGGGGTTGTTCACAATGATATTTTGGTGGTCCATGAAGAAAGCCAACTGAGAATGCTTTTTTTTTATTATTAAAAATTATATTTCTACTGTAATTTGCACTATACTGATATATATATATATATATATATATATATATATGGATAAGTCTTTCTTTCTTTATTTCTTTTATGTTGCTTTTCCAACATTTTGTTGAATCCGGGATTTAGTCGTGTTTCTCAACTGTTATCAAAAGTTTGCAATAGACTTGACATTGTGAAAAGAGATGATCTTCGACTATCATTAACATTGATGGAACCAGATATAAAGAAACTCATCCACGGTACCATTGAATAAATATGCCTTTCTTTTTTTTCTAATCACAGTCAGTTATGTGCCATGCGTGATACACGCGTAGGTGATCATGTATCTTTCAATACATGACTGGCGAGGCAGATTTTCCCGCATTGGGTTGCCATTTCTTTCTGTGGTAGACCAGTTGCCATCCAAGGCTATAGAACCCGGTCTGTCCTGTTATTTACTCATAGCTGGGTGAAGAAGAGGATTCATACCTTTCCCAAGAGTACTAGCACGTAAGTGAATGTAATGGATTCGACTGAA